GAGAGAGAGAGAGAGAGAGAGATGAATCAAATATTCTGTGTATTTCCACATTCAAGTCATTTCCGTTTCTCAATGGATACAAAGCTTGACGTTATGACAGCTTATAATTATTTAAAATCAACAGATCAATAATCATGTTCAATTACTTTAGCCGCGAGTTTCGAGAGCTTCTTCAATAAAGTAGAAAGATTGTCCAAGACGAAAAATTACGACAGTGTCAGAAAGTTATTTTCCTCCAAAGATAATCCAAAATGCAAAATCGAAAATCGAAGATTATGACCATTGTGCTCTGGTTGAAACATTTCGTCGTCCCGATGAAATAACTGAATCGTTAACATATACATATATATATATATGTGTGTGTGTGTGTGTGTGTGTGTGTGTGTATGATTGATATCTATTTATAAAGAATGCTTTATTTACTTTTTTAACCAGTTAATCGCATTAGGCAATAAGCAATTTAATTTGTTCAACCAATCTCGTATTACTGACTGCGACATGACAATCTCGATGACGTTAGCGTCATGACGCAAGGCCGTATGATGCAAAGTGCGGGTATAACTTAAGAAAAACTTAACCCGAAGAAAAGTGCGTAGACGAGAATAAGTGCGAATTCTTTTGTTGCTGTTGAGAGTGACAATGTCAACGCTCGTCACAGATACGCCGCTATACAGATCGTCCACTACTACTACCTTTGCTGGGGAATTAACTAGCCTCATGCCCACCGTTACCAAGATTGACACACGATTGAACATCAGTCCGGTCTCAGTTATTCTGGCGATCTCCATAGTGTGTATTCTCTCGCCCATCACCGTTACCAGTAACTCCATCATCCTAGCAGCCTTCTACAGGTACAAAAGACTCAGGACTGCTTCCAATTGTCTTTTAGTCTCGTTGGCTATTAGCGATTTTGGGGTAAGTCTTTTACTTATCATTTGTATCGTTCTTGTACAAGTAGTGTATAAGTAGTATAATAAAAACGTGTCTTATTCGCTGACGTCTTATTTGCTCACGTCAATTACGAACGCATCTTCATTTAGATTCGCGATAAATGCATGATCTGCTCGTTTTTATTGATAGATCGGCGTGTTTATGCCAGTCGGGATACAGCTAGAGCTCTCCGGTTTACCAGAAAACGGCGTTTCCGCTCTCTGCATCGTGCCGTATTGCATTGCGATCGCGCTCTGTAGTGTGAGTGTCCTAGTTACCGTGGCCATCGCGGTGGACCGTTTGACTTCGTTGGCGCAACCGTTGCGATATAAAAACATCATCACCCACAGCAGCGTAGAAAAATACATCGCGGTCTTTTGGATATATGCGATCGCTGTTGGCCTCTCGCCTCTCATCTATACTCAAATCATCGGAGGGATGCAATCGCACAGGTAATTATATTTACTTAATGTTTATACATATATCATTATATATGTATATGTTTACATTTCACTATTTCAGTTAAAATAAAATTGTGTAAATTTCAGTTTATAAAAATATATGTGGCACGCAAATCAAATGCAATTCATTTAATTAATAAATAAATAAATATATATATATATATATATATATGGCTTGTTGCGTTTTATGCGCAATTTGCAAAGTATTAATCTCAAGTAAAACTATATACATGTTTAATTCAGGTTTTGGATGGAATAAAATATACGAACCGTTTATTTTTTAGTTTAATCAATGTATTATCAAGAGTATGTAAATCAAGAATATTATCAATAATATGAGCTTCGAATTTTGCATCCTATTTCTTTTTGTTTTATAATTTTTTATCTTTTATTTTATCAATAAACTTTTACAAAAAAAACTTAAAAAGGAGAAAAACAATGATTCCGCATAATATAATTAATGTAATGTAAAATTTTTAATCGCATTTTTGCTAAAAATAAAGTATATTTAAAGTATATTAAAAATAAAGTATAATTCGTTTTTATTAAAATTTTCCAAAATAAAATTAATTTTACCAGTATAGAATTCCATTTTAATCTTGTTCCATACGAATCAGAATAATTGGACATTCAGTACTACAACCGCTCACTGAGTTCTTGCATCTAATTGGCATATTCCGATAGATATAGATTCCAAATATATAAACCAAATAGGTGCAAGAGCTCATTAAGCGCTCAATGAGCAGTACTGAAGGTACCCATTAAATTATATATCGGCAAGCAAAACGCGCCTGCATTTGTTAGTATATTTCTCTGTAAAAGAAAGATCGTAACACTTTTTGTAGCGAGTGACGAATTCACAAAATAGGTATACGGTATATTACTAACGATATTTTAAAAATGCACGATAATTAATGTAATGTAAAATTTTCAATTTATCATGTTTTTGCTAAAGAATATTATTTAACAAAGTTGGTTGAACAATAAATTCAAACGACTTACTCAAAAAAATGAAACGATGTTAACCTCGTTGACTGAAATTTAAAAAATTTTGTCTTTTACGTTTATCAGTAGCATTTATTATTTTGATTATGCTTTAAACGCAACTCTGAATGCAATATATTATACTATGTTTCTATGAATAGAGCTGTGAGAAATTCTATTAAAGTGCTATCTGACACTATTTACATGATGGTTTAGATGCATGTATTTAAGTCTGTGACACGTGGCATATCGAAGAAAGTGAATTACATGGTTGAAGTAATAACTGAAATCCAGAAAAATATGTTTATACGCTGCATAAGATTACGCATCATATGATATATCGTTGCATCGTGATAAAAATCAAATTATCATCTTTCTTAATTTTTCATTATTTACTCTCCCTTTACAACTAACTTTCTGTATAACTATTTCATTATAACAGACAAATTAAGTATTTGATTAAAGGATTTAATACATCCTAAAACATTTACAGTTTTATGTTTAGACAACAACATTGTGTCTATACTTATTGAACAGCCATCAAAAAATAAGTACATATAAAACGATTGTATTTTTTTATTATTTTTTAAATTAGGAAATAAAGTATAATAATAACATATTATCATATAATCGGACGATAAAGTAAAATTTATTGAATGCGTCTGTGATATTTTCATAAAAAAAAAAGTTACATTTTCTTAAACAATGTAACTTTTCCGTTATCCTCGATTTGCATGATAATCAAGAAAATATATTCACCTTCTTATCGTTAATTTTATATTCTCTCTCACAATCAGTATCAGAAGTGATCGTCTTAAAGAGAATAATAACTAAAGTATAATAATATAATTAATTCCTAGTCGCGTATAATTTTTAATCGGGAGACATCACATCGAATATTTTTAAAATAAATATAAAAATTGTACTTATATAAATTTTACTTGATAGTTTTTACCGTCAATCATTTTTATCTGCATTAAAGTGCACATTTTAATCTGTGCATTTATATTCTTTTCACATCAAATGTGGTACATCAATATTAAATTATTTTCAAAGATTAAATATTTATTAATAAACTTATAAAATTATATTTAACAAATAGATCTTTTATATTTGGTTAGTGCAAATATATTATATCGTAAATATATTAAATGTGAATAGATCTATTGTATATTTTACATTACACGTAATATAATAATCTCTTAAATATATTGCATGTACAATATTCAATAAAAAATAGGAAACACTTTCAAAACGCTCAAAATTGTACAATTATCAGAAATACAGTGAAAAATCATTGGAAAAATCAAAAAAATAAAAAAGGAATTTTAAAGCTTAAGATTTGTACTTTAACGCTTTTAGCTGTTTTTCAAAAAAGATTGCTATCTTTATCATTATCCAATTTTGTATCTTAACAAAGATAACATTACTACGTTCTACAAAATTATGTATGTACATTCAACAGTAAGTCTGTAACTTGATTAAAAATTTTTTTTCAAAAAATTTATGGTATAATAAAGTAGACAGAATTTTACCTACCTACAAAATGTTTTTTTAAAACTTTTTTATGATTTTCTTGACCAATTAGTAACGCAATTTTGAAGCCAAACCTGATTATTAATTGTTAAAATACAGAACTGTAAAGATAGAAAATTTTTTTAAAAACGGCCAGGTCAGGTTTTTTTAAAAACGGTCCAATTTTCAAGTTTAAAAGACTTTTTTATTTTTTGCGATGATTTTTCATCAAGTTCGGTGATCTGAAAATGTGCAATTTTGAATGTGTGTTTTGGAAGTATTCCCTACTTTTCGGTGGTTTATTCATGAATTTATTCAGGCATGATATTATAATGCGAATGAATGATCATCGAATCATCGAAGAGATATCATTCGCAGAGTATACGCTTGCGATATTCTATCTCTATTCTCGAGAGATTCACCTGTTTGGATTTCTGATCTAATATAAAGGGCAGCTTGCAATATATTCGAAAATATGTCGCGCGCCGAATTTGATCGACTTATGCGCCTTCGACGCGGCGCGAATGTCACTATCACTATTATATGTCAGTAATGTTCAGTCGAATGAATTTTGTTGGCGCGAGCGAGATGGCGCAGGCGCGGCACGCGGTACAGCGAATTATCGTTGATTATCATCGCGCAGATTGCAGAGACGCCATACAGTATTTACAATGTATGATCGATATAAATATTACGGAGTTGAGTTCATTGCGATTATATATGCCATGCAGTAATAAATACTTACAAAAACGTCGCCAAATCGCATGAGTTTCACCTGTTCCGTTCGGTACAGTTCAGTATCGGTAATCGATTGCGGCGCGGCAACAACTTCAGCTACAACAATAGTCAAATCAATTATATGTCTAATTAATTGTAACCGTCCCGATCGCGTCCCACCTGCGTTCGACTCAATGGAATATAGGTATAATCGAAAATTTATATTGTATATACTTGCTGCGAATTCCCAGTAGATAATCACGCTGAACGATCATTATGCTGAGCGATATATCATAGTTTTCTATTAATATAATCGCTCTCGCTCTGATTTGCGTATTACTTCTCGCCGCTAATCCGGGAGCAATGGTTGCTTTCCATTTTTACACGAATGATACTTATACTGAATTAAAAGATCTGTTTTTTAACTATTTTTTTTTAACTGGTGCACATATAATAATTATTGCATCAGTTCCAGAGAGAGTGCAATAAAAAACAGATCTTAATATTATATATACTTACATATATAAACTCATGTGAATATTTTATATATTTAGTACTTAGATAATGACATCATTATATAAAGTGCTTACTTTACTGACAACAACACAGCAATTTTATAACTTCACTTTTAATGTGAGTTAACAATAAGTAAAACTCATTACCTGCAGTAAAGTTGATAAAGCACACGAGCTTGTACAGTATTAGGTCGTCGGTACAATATTATCACAATTGTAAATTCTATTTTAATTTAATGAATTATTGGAAAACATAAATATAATAAATAAAAATACAAAGAAAGAATATTAGTATTTAATATTGGAAAGATATTGAGTAATACCATAGATATATTGTAATTCTAGGGCGATTAATCTTTGATATTAATTTATCTTCTCTGTAGCGGAAACTGCAGATTCGATGCGGCCGTGTTACCACCAGTCAGAGTGTTTCTGGTCGTGGCAGTTTGGGCACCGAGCGCCCTGGTTTTATTGGGTTGCTACATGTACGTCTATCTTGTCGCGCGTGCACATGCACGTGCGATTTACACAGTGGAATTATCATTTAGACATCAAACGCAGACGTTGGCACTACCTCGTTATGGACAAACCTTAGCAGTCACGGTTGGCGCATTTTTTATTCTGTGGCTTCCATTCCAAGTGAGTGCAAGCTTCCATTACTGAAGGAATATGTAACTTTCTTTCTTTGATTTACATCACATTGATATAAATCCAAGTTTCAAACTGTGATCACAGTATTATGGAGTTACATATGTCTCGTATCCTTCGTAGGCACATTTTTATTTACTTCACCGGTACTCGCTGAATCCTTTTTTGTCTAGCTAAAATTTTGTTACTGCGCGCTCTAGATTTCAAAAAAATCTAAAAAAATTCAGAATTATTTTTCAGTATCTCTACTACGTTGCCAAATAGGTATTTAACTCAATGCTGTTAAAACTTTTATTTAATAAAAATTGTAATTTGTGCCACACACAAAAATTTGAGGATGAAATTTCATTTGAGTGAAAAAAGTGTGTCCCCTTACAGATGGATTAAAATCATTAAAATCTCGTCTGTAGTGTTTATATGTTACCATGGATTGACATTTTGCTGTCGCCATGTTTGCCACATTCTTCTTATACCGAAGAAATAGGAAATTTAAATCTATTATAATGTTGATTCTATTGCTTCATATTTTTGTGATTTTATTATATATTGTATCTATCAACTAAATTACTAAACTTACGTCGTGCTTCAAATTTTGAATTTTATTACAAGTGACTAACATATATTTATTGTTTTATAGAAAAATTTTTTCTTTTTTTTTTTTTTTTAATGAGATACGGCCATATTAGTAAAAAACGCACATGCATATTTCCCCTATGCAAATTGCAAAAGATAAAAAAGTTCCGTATCATCTATTTATGCCACAAAGATACATAAGAATGTTCAATGGAAAAAAGTGAAAGAGAGAAAACATAAGTTTGAAAGATATATCGTGACCGTATTCGCCTCATTAAATATTATTATCAAGAAAGAATTTGAAGAAATACGTACATACCTATAAAGGAATATTTTTTTCAAAGCAATATATTTCTTACTCAATTTTCTGTTTGATATTACAACAATGAGGTAAGCTTACGAGATTAAACATCAATATATTGATGTTTTTTTGAAATTTTTGTTAGATGATTTGAAAAACAGACATTGGAAAACAATATTAAAATTCCCTTGACTTCAACTTGTTTCATTTTCACAAGGGAGCAAAGATTTCATTGAAAATCGACGAAAAAATCGATGTAACTTGTAAAATTATTATAAATGATAGGACATGTTTATTGTGATTGCTAGATATGAAGAAAGGAGAGAAACGATACTGCTCTTTTGTGATCTTTTTGTTACTTTTTATATGAATCTTCCCTCGTGAATAAAAGAGGGAAAAAAAAATGGGAAAATACTGTGTTTCTCCCAGTGCATTGAATTTCTTTTTAACGTGAAAAGTTTATTAAATAAGATAAATGAAATTTAATTCAAAGTGTCCAATTATATACCATAATAGTAGCATAATAATAATAATTAACTGAAGAATCATGCGCGTCGATCACATTATGTAAATTGTGTTGGTACAATAAGTGAAATATACAAGATGTCCCAGAAATAGGTGAAGCCAAACTTTAGTACCATATTCTAATGTCACTAAGAATGAAAAAAATACGTCATATAAATATATATTATATTATAAGTCCAGAAATTCTTCCTTTTTAAGATATAAACACTTTTTGTTTGCGAGAGAATATTTTAAAGATTTGTAACTTAAAGAAATTAAGCTGAAAATGACTTCCTTGTGTATCATGATACATACTTCGCATCGACGATGAACTCTGAAATTTCCATTAGCTCGTCCGTACATGAAATGAATATCGGCTCACTTGCGCGATATTGGAATAAATCATCTTGGTTAGATGATTATCTTAACTAATTATTATCTAACGTTATCTTAACTATGCGACGTTTAGATAGAAACTAATTTACTGTCTCGGATAACAGTATTACTTGCTCTATAATATTTACTTTGTATTTATGTACTTTGTATGGTATCTGTTCGTGTAAAGCAAATTTTTGACATAAAAAAGTGTTTATATCTCAAAAAGGAAGAGTTTCCGGACCTATGCATAACCTTCTTTCATCCTTAAGGAATACGATACTAAAATTTGGTCACAAATTTCTAGAACACTTTATATGTATCTGCAAATTATAATACATAGGGTGTGTGTAATGATGATCACATAATCTCTCATAAACAATTAGAGCGAACTAAACTAATAATCCTCTACTATTTTGCAATTTTCACAATTTTTTTAATTATCCAATGTCAACAGAATGTCTAAACAATAGATGCATAAGGTAATTGTAAGATATCTTAGAACTCTAAGAGTTCTTTAAGAAAAATCTTTAAGATATTTTATAAAGAAAAGAACTTTGTAAAATATCTTAAGTGTCTTATCTAATGCGTCGATTTTATCCGTTTATTCGGCAATCTTTAGAAATTACAATAATATCTCGTTATCTATTGCAAAAATTGCGGATTATGCAATCATTACCGCGAACATTCTGTATATAGGAGATACTCCCATTCTCCCCTTTAAAAGAAATAATCTTTATATTTTTCTCTTGCATAATTGTTTACCACATCTAAAAGGATTCGCGATACACAATGAATTTTTATACGGATGAAGTGAGACAGATTTGAATGAGCTGATGCGGCAAGCAAGTTATATCGATTTCGAAACGTTTTTTCTCCGTTTTTGCTATACAATAATTTAGAAAATTACAAAAATCAATTCTCGTTACATATAATGTAATTCTAGCAGTTATAAATAAATGAAAGATCTGTTTTCTGACTGAACTAATGTATTAGTGTAACTTTTGGAACTTAAAGTAAGAGATAGGTACATGTTTGATATTTAACGAAAGCGAGAAAAAGTGCACTACAAAAGTTGTAGTGCAGTTTAGTTGGAATAAGAAACAGATCTAGAATCGCAAGAAAATGTTAATAAACATACGAGGCAGTCTAAGGGCAGTTTTTTTAACATGGTTTTTCTCTTTTTCTAGATTTGCATGCTGGTGGACATTTTCTACGGAACCAACATCCTATCGGAATGGGCGGTAGTGTGGCTAGGTTTGCCAATCCTTGCGCACAGCGGCGCAAATCCATGGATTTATGCTTTTCATCACGGTGAGATGCGCATCGCTGCCGGAAAAATTGCTCAAGATCTGGTCGCTTTGTTTGGTGTGATGCCGGGCCATTACGGCTGTTCACCGACAAGATGCGGTACCAACACGAACCTTGAACTGGCCGAGGTGAATTATGATGAAGAGAGCAATGAAAGCAGACGGCATCCGCCCGTAGAGGATTGCTTTACTACTACCAAACACCATAAGGCTCTTTATAAGAATAGATGCTTAGAAATATCAGGTAGACACACCGATATCTCGCTCGAGAAGCATGACAACGAGCATATTGCGTCCTGCAGCAGTCGATCGGGCGACATCATTGGGGAAAATATTCACGACCTGACGAAGATGCTCGAGCCAAGATACATCATCGACCGAAATCACGTTATCGACTCCAATCACAATATTGACAAGATAAAAAATCTCAAATATTTGTTGGATCCGACTTTCAACAAGATTAGGCATCTCCGACGATTGAATCACAAACGAATAAACAGGAATAACTTGCCATTGATTTTCGAATCGGAGAAATTTATATCTTATCAGAATTTGAAGAGCGACGGCTCACACAGCAATCGTAAGTTTCTTCAATTGAACGCCCTATCGGATCCGATACTAAATGTTGATACTTCCGTAGTAAACACGAAGAATTCGAATCAAGTAATGTACCGCGTAAATAATGTTACCTATCAAAGACAGAATCCAAACTTGATGACCATGTCAGATTCGAATCTCGAAGCGGCAACGGTGCATACTTCCAAAGTAGACACAAGACTCTTTCCGACAAGTAATAACGACACGGAAAGCTATGGTTGCTCTGTGCAAAATCTCAATCACGGATACGAGGATGCATTAGCGAGACACGCGATGATGCTCTGTCAACAGATGGAGGATCAACAGAAAGAAGCCATTAGCAAGGCTTCTTCTCGTTCGCGACCCAAGTTTCGCCATTTTGGACGCGTGAATCCGAATCTGAAACATAAACTGCGAAACGGCTGCTCCTCCTCGTCGTCGGCGCTTAATAAGACAAGCTGCAAGACGGATACTTTGAAACGAAGCGCACTCCCGCACCTAACTATTACGTCGAACAAATTAGCCAATCTTATTAACCTAGATTCACCATCGAGAAATATGCGTACATCCGCGCACATAATAAATTTTACTGCCAAAACCATGACGCAAACTCATAAAAAATTGGAGGCGTTGAAGCATTCTGAGTCGATTAATGCAATCGGCGATCCAGTAATGCACCGAGTAACTCTGTTGGAGCCTTTCAATTTGATGGATTCGTTGGTTGTTCCGACGATACACTCGGAACCGCCGAGTCCCATAGAGCCTCTCCCCGCGGCGTCTCTTCAGGCCGAAGAGACGCAGAGTCTTGAGATCCCGAGATCTGTCATGGACATCATCGCGCAACGCACTAGTTCGCCTGTAAATAAAAGAAGCAATCAGAAGCCCATAAGACGCTCAATTCCTATAGTACCGACCGTATTACTAAATATCGAGGACTTGAGCGAACCATTCGAACAAGGTGATGATCAAATTCTGTGTCAAAGGAGTGACCCTGTATCCTCCGGTAATACGTCGACGTTGGAGCCGATCGATCTTTTCGAGGCACTGCTGAGGAACTCGGACAAAAGTAGAGACACGAGACTATCAGAACCCATCTTCGCCGAGCACGATTCCACCAGGTTTAGCTCAAGACGTCCATCCGATTCAAAGTGGTCCGAGTCCTCTAGGAGCCAAGAGGTCTTATCGAGCGCCGCGATGGAGCATCAAATTGCGTTCCCATTGTTTTATTCGGTCAACGATTTTCAGACTTGTAACAGCGGCAGCGACCTCAACGATCTCACCTCCCTGGATCCCTTTATGTGTCCCGACGCTCTGACGTCATCTCTGCGCGAGTCCTTCTTCAGCGCGCCATCCATGCCTGACTCGGATATATTCACATCTTTCGAGGAAAGCTACGAGCCGGTCTTTACGCCTGATTCCGAGCGGGACGCTCGTTTGGCGTACAATTCGATGTCAACAATGAATTTAAAGAGGTGTGCTGTAGAAGCGGTTTTTCAAAGTAAATCTACGGAATCGGTGCACCGTGTCAAGCATCCCTCGACGCGATCCTGCACGATTCTTAGAGTAGAACCGGCTGTACATTCGAATAGATTACGCGTCAGACCCTGCGTGGATTACATCTTGAAGGAACCGTCGCCGGTTAAGAGGAACCCGCGTTTGGCACCTCTTGCTATTCCCACACCCACCGATATCTGTACTCCCACGTTTGACATCGTATCGGAAATCAAAAGCGATAACGGTATTGGCGTTAGAGTTTGAATCGTTCGAAAAATAAATAAGAGTCTGCGAATTTTCTCGCGTGTTTGCACTAGAGAGATATTTCAGTCGCGATATCGAACTCGAAATTCTCGAAAGAATTTGAAAATCTTTTTATTGTGGCTTATAGGATAAAAAGAGAAAGAAAGAAAGAGAAGAACAAGATCTAGAGAGTGTGCGAAAACTATGTGATACGTAGGACGTTTTTATACTCCAGATATATCGCATATAATACAAAACGTATGAAATACTATTGTCAAATAAGTCACGTATGTTTTTAATAATTTCTTTTATTCGTAATGTGCTACTCGATAATGTAACCAAGTTATTCGTGTAATTAGTACTATATGGGCTATAATTTGTTATAATTCATTTTAAAACATTTTTTTCGCAAGAGGCAACGTAAAAAGTAATATATAAATAGCTGTATATATTAAATAATATTTAAAATATTATTTAATATATACAGCTATTTATATATTACTTTTTTACTTGCACAAGTCTTGTACTTTTTTATCTTTTTTAATACTTGATCCTGTCATACTTGTTTATACTTCTTATAATCATATACTTCTTATACTTCTTTCATATACTTCTTAGATCAAATTCAAAGTAATTTATATTTTTAATCTTTGAATGAAATTAAAATCACCTCCCTCTGAGAATTTGAAAGCTCGATGTTCTTAAGTAAAGACTGTTTTGATTATCAGATATGTACGGCGCTATACTGGATTGGAGTATAAAGTGTTTTCAAATTACAATATGATGAGGAAAGGGAATATTTTATGTCATTAGTATTATCGCTTTTTTTTATTTTCAGTGACTGTGTTTCAACTTAATAAACAATATTTAATTGATGTAAAAGGTAGCGATATGTTGAATTTGTTATCGATCGATAATCGATATTTGATCATCTCGAACGAATTATCACTTTATCTAAATTAATATTAGGTGTAGTAAAAAGAAATCCATTATTTTTGCATGAAATTGAATGGAAATTCAAAATTTACCTAATAATATTTAATCATTTAAGCTAGTGATTCGTTTATTTCTGATCAAATATAATTTTTATCAATAAATAAATAATATTCCGCCTCAAATACAAAACGATATTTGTTGTATAGAAGTAGAAGGGGAAGTTCTCTATGTGGTCCAATGCATTATCTGTTACATTATATATGTACATTGTACATACATAATAAATACGAACGTGCAGTGCGTTCTATTTTGCGAGTCAATTGAACCGTGTGAATCGAATGGTTATTCAAAAGTTCCGTAAATGGCGTGCCAAGCAAATTGTTTTAAATCAATTTTCCTAGTCATCTCGTGCTACGCCTGTAACATATTGTATATCGTGTACCTGATTAGCAATTATATATTCGTTGATTGGAAAAGATTTTGAAGATATATATTGCAGAATATTGAATATATATATATATATATATACTGAATATTGAATATATATATACTGAAATATTCTTTAATAAGAGGCAAACTTTAAAATTTAATGTAATGCCGATAATGTAGCGTTTTTTTTTTAGACAATAAAATTTTGTATTCTTGTTTAATTATATTTTTGCGCGATTTATTTTTGTATATATAAAATTCTCTTTCAGAGATAATATTTTATCTAAAAGTCTTTCTATCTTATTAAAGAGAATAATATATTACTCACTATCTCAAAGAGAATACGAAAATTATAAATTTATCTATGCCAATTAAAATTTGTTTTTAAACTGTGCGAAATCATTCTTTTTTTTTTCTTATTGCTAAGAATGATACATATAAATTGTTTAATCCGCTAATTTTTTGTTCAATCTGTATAAAATTATATTACATACGTATTGAGGCTGTTGAAGATGAAGATATTACAGATAGATGAATAGAAAAAAAGAGAAAGTGAGAGAAATCAGTCATAAACATAAGGCTCAATAATGGATCAGTTTTTATGTATAAAAGGTGCTATCAAAGATGTGAACACAAATTTTATACCTAACTCAAAGGCTATCCATAATAATGAGTCTTGTATCTGTAACACCTATTCATAACATTATAGATTATATTACATATGAAAATTAACTAATTTTATCGGGACCCAATTTTCCACATAATTAGTGCGATATCTTTTCAAAAGACAACTAATAAAGTTAAATCATTCTATGGAAATTGAAACTATCATGTTGAAACTATCAAACTATTTTCTTTATATTATTTAATTACGTGCACAGTTACGTTACTATATTTGCATTATCCTACAACTCTTCTCTTAAATCTTTAATTTTATTTATACCGTAAAAATTATTTTGTTAATTAATATGAATGACGAAATCGTCCAAAAAACACGAAATAAAGAAGAAAAGAATAATCGCACTTTTTACAAATGCCAATTGAATATTGAATGCTTTTATATATGAAACAATCGAGAAAAGTTATGTGTAAAATGTTATTTTAACCATTTTAACATTTTGTGTGTGTGTGTGTGTGTGTGTGTGTGTGTGTGTGTGTGTATGTGTGTGTATTCTGACAAACTTTTTTTAAAAAAAGAAAAAAAGAGTGTGTATGAAAGTTTTCTATACTTCGTGTGTACCTAAATGTCCCATTTGAAATAATTTAAGAGCCGACACAAAGAATTTTGCACGCATCCACGTATATGTAAACAAATGTGCGCAAGTGCAAGCTATATATAAATATTAGAATTGGATATTTATTTCTTTTCGCATTCAAATTTTTATTGATTTTATACGATTTGTCTTCCATATCATACAAGTTGTAAATAGATGCTATAGTTCCATTATCAAGATATTAGATTGTCTGATATCTTTTTACTTTGTAAAGTGACGATAGCAAGCGCAACAGATGAATTTTCTTTAATTAATAATTAATAATGGTTCTCAAGAATATATTATATATACATGAATATATATATA